GCCCGCGCGGCGGCGCCGGAGACCGCGGGCCTGGGCGCCGCCCCCTCAGGTGAGGGCTTCGTCTCACATCCTTCGCGCCTTCCCCGCGCGGCCCCCGGTTCTTCTTCCTCCTCCCCTGGTCGGCCAGATAGCTCTGCGCGGGCCCAGCCGCCTTCTCTGCCCACCGGACCCCGAGGTTGGCTGACCTAACCCCATTGGGCATGGGGGTCGGGAGCCATCGCCTTGGCGTCGCAGGGAGTGCTTTCCCTTCTCCGGGCTGAGGTATCCCAAGGCTCTGGTGTCTGAACCTTGGACAGGAGATTGGACAGCAGCCTCGTGGAGACAAGGGGTTAGGGCAAGGCCAGAGGCTGGAGTAGGCGGGCCTGGAGGTTGGGGTAAATACAGGATGGACAGAAGTTGGACGACGTGTGCATTTTGAGTGGTGACGGTAGAGAATGATGTCTTGGGTTCTGCCCCTGCACCAGGAGCCGACATGTTGGTGATACCTCCCGGGCTGAGCGAAGAGGAAGAGGCGCTGCAGAAGAAATTCAACAAGCTCAAGAAGAAGGTAAGGGAGTAGGGCGGCGGCACGGCACAGCCTTCTGCAGACTCGGAGGACACCTGGGAGAGTGTGAGGTGATGGGGCGCCCCCTTGTCCTGGCTCATACCCGGAGTACATGCCTGTGTCGCTTCTCCAGCTTTTTGTCAAGTCTTTTCTGTTTGATCCCCCATGGATCGGTCATCCTTCCTGTGGTTTGAGTACCACCGGGAGCTGGAGGTGTTCACATTTGGATTCCCCGTTCCATGCGTGCGTTTTGAACCATCAGAAGGCCAAGCTAAAGTCACCATCCTGTCTGATCTACTTCCCTTTCCTTGCTTTTAGATAGGACCTCCTAAGCGTCATAGGCCTTAAAATCTCCTCTCTGGCTTTTTATCCCCTCTTCAGACAGGGCCTCACTGGATTGAACAGCTCTACCTGAGCCACTATACTCTGTTCACCCCGCACCCAGCTCACTTCTGGCTTCCTTACTATGTACACAGCGGAGTGTCTGTCCTGCCTGTCCGTGTTCTGTCTCTTCCACCTTCCCACTTTGTCTATTTTTTTTCCCTTTGAAGCAGGATCTCAGTACATGGCCCAGGTTGGTGTTGAACTCCTGGGTCCGTGTGATCTTCCTGCCTCAGCTTCTCTGAGGAGCTGGAACTGCAGGGGCACCCTGATTATCAGTGCTCTGTCCTTCTGAGTGATCTCTCTAGTGACTCCTACCGACGAACCCGTCAGAACAGGGTTTGCTTGGCTCTCTTGGGGGCACACTTGTTCCCCTGAAAACTTTTCAAGGTCTCACATCGTGTATTATAGAACAAAGCCCTGAAATCTCAGCCCAGCATCCCTTTCGAAAAAGACAGAATTGCTTACTCTAAAAACCTGCATCCCAAACCTTTTCTCTGCATTTGTACCACCTTGCTTTCTTTGTCAAATCTCTTCTGTCTGCGTTGGGTAAATTCTACCCAGGTTCCAGTTTAATAACTGCTTAAGCATCTGAGACTGGTTTTTTTTTTTTTTGCATTCAGCTATGTTTGATTAGTACCTTTGATTATTCTTGGCTGGGAGTCTAGTCGTTATATTTCCTGGATTATGCGTTTCTCAAGGGTAGGAACTAGGCGTTTCAGTTTTGTACAGCTTTGTGAAATATGCAGAAGAAAGGTGGGTAAAATCCTCAGGGAAGACATTCAGAGCTTCTCTGCAGCTTATATGGTAGGGCTTAGGTTTGGTTTTATTTTATGTACATTGGTGTTTTGCCCGCGTGTATGTCTGTGAGGGTATAAGAATTGGAGTTACAGTTGGAAGCGGTCACATGGGTGCTGGGAATTAAACCTGGGTCCTCTTGAAAAGCAGTCAGTGGTCTTAACTGTTGAGCCCTCTCTCCAGCCGCAGGGCTTAGGTTTTTGTTTTGTTTTTGTTTTTGTTTTTCAACTTCCAAAACGTGAGACTTGAGGGGCCTTGGACACCCTGCTTTGGTTAGGTTAGTTACTATCGGCGTCACGATGATGTAGGGACCAGATGTGCCCCTCCAGGACAAGGACACCGTGTATGCTCTCCCTTGAATGATGCACATCAGAGACCAGCGCCTTGGCTGACAAACCTCGCCTTGTTAATCTTTCTCCTTCCCAGAAAAAAGCCTTGCTGGCCCTGAAGAAGCAAAGTAGCAGTGGCACGGCGAGCCAGGGTGGCGTCAAACGCTGTAAGTGGTGGAGATGGAGAGTTGGAGGGGCAGCGTGGGGCTACCCCCGCCACAGCCAGCATAACGCCTCCGTCCCTCCCTCCGCCCCCAGCGCTCTCGGAGCAGCCTGTGGTGGACACTGCCACAGCAACAGAACAGGCCAAGCAGCTGGTGAAGTCGGGAGCCATCAGTGCCATCAAGGCTGAAACCAAGAACTCAGGCTTCAAACGTTCTCGGACCCTAGAGGGGAAGTTAAAGGTGAACACCCTTGACGTCAGCGAGATCCCCTCCAAGCTAGAAGGGAGATAGCTTTATGGGAAGTCATGTTAGATACAAGCAAGTTGTGCTGTCCTTAGGTTTAGGTTGTTTTCCTACTTCTGGTCTCTTTTAGTCTTTTTTATTCCTTTCTCGCTGTTCCCCCAGACTCACAAGTAGCTGGGGCTAGAGGGGCACGCCACCATTTACTGCTGGAGCTTTAAGTTTCTTATCTATCACACAAGGTGACTCCTGCATTTCTGTTTTCCACATTTGCACTTCCTGGGTTGAGGGGAGGTTTGGGTAAACCAAACACTTAAAAACAGCGCGTCAGCCAGGCGTGGTGGTGCACACTTTTAATCCCAGCACTTGGAAGAAACAAGCTGAGCTCTGAGTTCAAGACCAGCCTGCTTTACAGAGTGAGTTCCAGGCCGAGCTCTGAGTTCGAGACTGACAGCCAGGGCTGCACAGAAACTCAGTCTTGATAAACAGGCAAAAAGACCAGCACATCATCAGCAGGAAGTGTAACAGGAGCAAAAGAGGACCTAGCTCTCCTGGTCCGTACTAATGCGGTGTCTCCCCCACCCCAGGACCCTGAGAAGGGGCCTGTCCCCACTTTCCAGCCGTTCCAGAGGAGCGTATCTGCTGACGAGGACCTGCAGGAGGTAATGGTTTCTGTGGGGCCAGGGTTAACTACAGAAGACACAGGTTTTCAACACCTGGGAATCTTCTTAATTGTTCTGGTTTTTTTTTCCTCAGTCATCCAGACGTCCCCAGAGGAAATCTCTGTATGAAAGGTTAGAGAAACCACCATTTGGTGTGGGGTCAGTAGGTGGAGTTACTGGAAGGTTCAGGGCTGGAGTGGAAGGAGCCAGCTGTAGACAGAGGTCCTTGAGAAGATGGAGCCTCCTTTGGTCCTTACTGTCTGCCTCTCCCCAGCTTTGTGTCTTCTAGCGATCGGCTGCGGGAGCTGGGACCAGATGGAGAAGAAGCAGAGGGCCCTGGGGCTGCTGATGGCCCACCTCGAGGCTTTGACTGGAGCTATGAAGAACACGGTGGTGCTCGCTCCTCAGCCTCCCCTCCCCGAAGCCGCAGCCGGGACCGAAGTCATGAGAGGAGCCGAGATAGGGACCGGGACAAAGACCGCGACAAAGACCGGGATCGAGACAAAGACAGAGACAAAGACAGAGACCGAGACAAAGATAAAGACCGGGAGCGAGACAGGGAGCGAGACCGGGAGCGGGAGCGAGAGGGCCCTTTCCGCAGTGAGTGCCCTTGGCCAGGGTGAGGGGTCCTGCTAAATGGAGGATGATGGGGACTCAGTAGTGACCGTGATTCCCGACCCACAGGGTCAGACTCATTCCCTGAGAGGAGGGCCCCTCGGAAGGGGAACACTCTATATGTGTATGGAGAAGACATGACGCCCACCCTCCTCCGAGGGGCCTTCTCCCCCTTTGGAAACATCATCGACCTCTCCATGGACCCACCCAGAAAGTAAGGATGAGTATCCTGGAGGAGACGCTGCGTGGGGACACTGGGTCCATGGACCCCCACTGACCCCACTTTTTCTCACCCTGAGCATCCTAGGGGAGATGCTGCATGGGGACACTGGGTTCATGGACCTCCACTGATTCCGCATCCTGGGGGGGGACGCTGCGTGGGGACACTGGGCCCATGAACCTCCACTGATCCCGCATCCTGGGGGGG